CTACTTACATAGCTAGTCGATGAATTGATGCCAACATCCTTGCGCTGACGTTTTAATAGCGCAGTATCAACACTGGAATTATAAATTGAGTCGTTCAAAGGCTTCAACTCTAATGTAGAAATAAAAGGTATGGTTGATCCAGTTTTTACCAAACATACATATATCAAATCTTCTGAGGGAGCGTAAATAACATCAAATATCCTCATGTCATCTGCACTTGTTAAATAGAGTGTTTTCCATAAATTAACTCCAATATAAATGTCTAATGTTGGTATGGTATTTAGGTTATCATAATTTCCATAGTAGAACATAGCTCTGATTAAGTAGTATCGATTTTTGCCTTGTAAAGGTCTCAAGGTGTAACAATTTCTTTTTCCATCTGGGAAACTTCCAAGTGTGTTGAAAACTGTCCATGACCCTCCTGCTACTTCCGCGTTTCTTCCAGTGTTTATGAATTCGGAATCTGACTTGTAATACAATCCTCTCTCTTTGTCGTATCGTGAATCTTTAGTCATTCCACAATCAATGCTGATGAATCCTTCAATTCAAATTTTATTGCAAAAATAAAACAGCTACACATTCAATAATGATGAACAAGTACACTCTAATATAACTTCATATGGAGTAGTAATATTTAATCAAATGGAACTCTTTCAACATTTATCCAAAACAAAACTGGTTTTACTTAGGCTCTGTTTGGTTTGATGTAAAATGTTTTCATGGAAAATGGATTTTCCATTTTTTCCCATTTTCCTTTGTTTGGTTTGTTAATGAGTGGAAATCAATTTTCAAGGGTGGAAAATTCTATCCTTTAATGATGGAAAACATTTTTCTTCCAAAAACAACGGAAGCCACATTTTCCTCTTTCCTCCTTACCTCTTTTTTTTACTTCCCTCTCATTCATCCTTACATTTCCATTCTTATTTTTTTATTTTTCTTGGACTTTTCTTGTATGCAACCAAACAAAGGAAAACTAATTTGCAATTGTGTGTTTTCCTTAAAAATATGTTTTCCATGAAAACTAGTTTTCCATTGAAAATGTTTTACATTAAACCAAACGGGCCTTAGTGTATAATACAATCAAATCTTTTCTTTAACTAAATGAGTCTTAAATGATCCCTCTCTTATTTTCTAAGGAAAAAATTGATATAATTAATCCAACTTTGAGCCATTTACTTTATTTAATCTCAACTACAAATTATTTTTGAATGATTCAAACTTTAGGGTTATTAACTTTTACCAGGTCCAAATGACCGGACCTGAACATAAAAATTGAAACCACCTTTTCCCCTCCTCCTTCCCAGCTAGCACAACCCCTCTAATGGCAAAGAACCCAGCTAGCCCTGACCCGCCTGGCCGCTTCCCACCACCAGCAGCTGGCAAATTAGCAGGTGACCCCACTTTCATACACCAGTCCACACAATCCAACCTCACTTTGCCACCATTTTGCCACCACAAACCTCGACCACTCACTCGCTGCCATTCAGATCAACGCACCACCTCATAAATTAAACCCACGCAGCCAATCACCTCTTTCCCCAAGCACTGCTACACCCTCAACTCACATCGTGGCAGCAGAAAAACAGAGCCACCAACCCGACAATACAAGCCATCAATTAAAAAATTAGCATAACTTTCAGCAATTGGACCACATCTTACAATTGAGTATTAAATAAACGTCATGTGTAGGTGCTCTACTAGTAGGAAATTTTATCAAATTAAGGTTGAAAAATAATGAACAAGTGAAAGCTTACAAATTAAAATATTTAGTAGGTAGTACTAGACTACTAGATTACTTTTTTTTTTTTTTTTTTTTTTTTTTTTTTTTTTTTTTTTTTTGTTCTTGTTGTTGTAAGGTACTAGATTACTTATTTAAAGCTTCATAATTACTAATTGAATGTATAAGCAAGTGAACAGGAGAATAGTTATACCTGCAGCAACTCTTTCATCGGCTAACGAAGTCAAATTTGCAGCATCATCGGCAGCCAAGGAGAAAATTAATCCAAGATTGCAAATCAACAAGTATGATATAAGTATATTGATGGTGTTAAACGCCATAACCCAAACCCACATTATAATTTGTTTTTTTAATCAATAATTTTTTTAAGACTAAAGAATTTCGTATACTTATATATACGTAGTATACTATTGGTATATACTTTGTATAAAGATGTATGTGAATATGTGATGAGTGTTACGTTGATATGCGTATAATTTCCAGGCCACTTCTTTTCTATTGACTTGACGTTGAACCTTCTTTCACTAATCACCACTCGATCCTAGGATATTTATCTTGTGGACGACCTCAGTTTACAATATAGCTGTATTTATTCTTGTATTGGTGCGTCAAGTCATGAGAACTATACATTGACGCCTACAATTTTATGACTTGGAAATTGTACAACAAATACACCTATGTATTCTTAACATAAGTCCATAAGAGCTTTCAGTCTTTATTCTTTTCTTTAGCGTGGGCTTTACTCTATGGGTCCAGAAATTGTGTTTATGACTAAACGTCTAAACCTTTATTAAATGCCCAAAAGCATCCTTCTTTTTTTTGGTAAACAATACTCCGTTTTTAAATAATTGATCCATTTCTCCATGCGCGGAGTTTTAGGAGAAATTGGAAAAAATAATAATATATAGAGATAGTGGGATAAGTGGAAGAATAAAAAATTGTAAAAAGCAAAAGTAGTGGAGAGAATTGGAGGAGAGAAAATATTTGGTGGCTTGGTGGGTCCACTAAGTGAGATAAATTAGTTAAATATTGTAAAAACTTTCCAAATAAAGAAATGGAGCAAGTATTTAAAAACGGCTGAAAAAGAAAAATAGAGCAAGTATTTAAAAACAGAGGGAGTAACTTGTTAAATTAGCATTCACCTCTTTTTGGAAAACAGCTTGTTGAAATCAAAAGAACAATAAAGAACAAAAGCACATTCCTGATCAAAGATCTAATGTACTTCGATTATGCCGTGGTTTGGGACCCACTATCTTAATTAGAAGAGAAATACGCCACCACCGGTACTGGTATCCTAGCGACGACTAAACTAGAAGCATCCCCAAGATTTACACAACAACCTCCGTAATTCATGTAACCAAACTCAAAGGTTGAAATTGCTCAAGAACCGCTAAGATCTCAATAGGTTTGTGTTTATGTGTTTAGGGTTTCAATGTTAATAAAAATCATCATCAATTTTCAGGCTTAAAAGTATACTTACAGGAGAAAAAAGAATATCTAAGAAATAACAAAGCTAGCGGTAATCAATGGGCGGGCCGAGCCGAGGTCATTTAGCTCATTCCTCGGGCCAGGTCGGTTAAAGGCTTGGGCCAAAATATATGTGTCAAATAAAACCCATCCAAAAACTAGGCCGTGTAGGCTTTTTGACAAATTTCGAGCGAGCCGCGCCAAAAAAAAAAATAATAATAAAATTGCATAAATTGGAATTAGGCCGAAAAAAAAAATGCCCGAAACGGCTAGGCTAGCGGGTCGGGCTCAACTTGATTAGGTCTAATCAAAGCTAAAAGCCGACCACACAAAGCCCACCAATGGCCGAGCAAGCTATTGCTTGGCCCTGCCGCAAGGCAATGTGAGCAGCGAGCTAATATACGTACTTCAAAAAAAAAAAAACTAATACCCCCTCTGTATTTTTTAAGTGTTACATTTTGACCAAACAAGCATGTCGAGACACAGCTTTTCCCACTAATTTATCTAATTATATATTAGTAAATTATATGGAATTTGATAATATGAAATTATACATTATGAGTACGTTATGACGAATCTAACAATGTATTATACAATAACATTTGTTCTCTTTAAATTAGTAAAGTCAAAACCATTATATAAATAGTAAAAAAAGTCAAAGTGTAAGACTTAAAAAAAACACTGAGGGAGTACGTACAATTTTTCCCTTCATTCATTTCCCACTCAATCAAGTATTCCCTCCGCTACTCCGCTACTCTCAGCTCTTTCTTCATTCATTTCCCACTCAAGTCTCAATCTCACACATCATCTCTCTGTTGCTGTCAACCACACCATCTTTCTTCATTCATCTCCCTCTCAGTCTCACCCATACTATGTCACGCACACCATAAGCGTTTCTAGCAAAATTATGAGTATGAAAAAAGACATTATGACAGTGAAAAAGGGGAAGGCGATTTCAATAAATGTTCAAGAAGGCAAGGGTCGTGAAAGGTACGAAGTATTACTTATAACTAACCTCTATTACTAAATTTACAGCAAAATTGAAAATCATAAACCATAATTAGATAATCTTTAATTTAATTAAAGTTAATTCAATAGACATTTCAAAACCCTAACTTTAATAAGGTGCGTATTGGAGCTTAATAAACCAATTTTATGTACACTAATTGATTAATTGGGTACTGTATGTAGTTTATTAATCTAAAAATGGGGTTTACTTTTTTTAGTGAATTAGATTGAATGTGTCTGATTAATTTGGTTATTTTGACATTCAAAAGAAGCAGAGTTTTTAATGGGGAAAAGGTCTTTATATAGTGAAGATATAGTTGGGTTATCGCATCAAAAAAAAAAAAGATATAGTTGGATTAAGTTGGGAAAGTGGGTCCCTCAAATGATAAATCTAACGTAATCTGTCAAGTGGTAGTGGTAAACCGGTAACATATCAAAACAAAGTTAAAATAAAAGTAGTTATTCATAAAAGTTGCGAAGCTTTTACAATAGTCGTAGACTACGGACGACTATGGTCGACTACAATAAGAGATTGAATCTCAACCGTTTATTTATTAATTGATTAATCCTAGGCGTTCAAGTCATCAAGTCTAGTCATTAAGTCATTACACAGTCATCATGTCTAGTGACCAAGTCATTACACAGTCATCATATCTAGTCATTATACAGTCATTAAGTCTAGTCATTACACAATCATCACGTCTAATAATTAGTCATTTGCCACGTGTTGCATTTTTATTTGTCCAGAATTTATTTTATTTTTTATTTTTTTAGAAAACTTTTTTTCCTTTTTTTTTTTCCATTTCCTCTTCATCTTCTTCCTCCCCTTCAAAACTCCATGGCTCCATGAATGGAGCTCCATTTCCGGCCAGCCCTTTGCCCACCACACCTCCACCTCCACCTCCGGCCAAGGATGCACGGATTCGATTATCTCCCGTACCAGAAACGTATCTAGGCAATTTCTGACGGTTTCCTATGAAGCCCAACCTCTTTTTTTTTTTACAAAAAAAGCCCCAAATCAGTAGAATACTTACCTAATTGTTGATTTCCCCCAATTTTCAAAAACCCTAAAATTTTCGAACTCTGATTTTTATTTGTTTGATACTTAAAATTAGTTGTTTGCAAAATTTCCCAAATCAAATTACATAAACATACAGTAGTACATGGATACTGATAATACGTTACAATAAAAGAGTTCTTCTGTTATAAATATCAAAGTGATTTTCCAGCATCATTTCAGGTGGCTACCTTGCTGTTGGACCCATTTCAATAGATGTATCGACAATGGCAATGTCAGTAGTAGGATAACCATATCCATGGTTGTCCATCTCTCTATTTCCTCGGGACATTTCGATGGCTAAACAATCATTCAGATCACTCAACACTTGGTTCATGCTTGGCCTTTGGATTGAAGTAGATGATACACACATCATAGCAATCTCCAAGGCTTTCCATGCAGAGTTGGTGGTGAAATGTCCTTCCAATCTCTTATCGACAATGAGTTCTATATCCCCACTCTCAAGCTTAGGAGTAGTCCATGCACTTATGTGTATTGGTTCAGCATTATTGCTTCTCACAATTGGTGATTGCCCTGTGATGAGCTCCAACAAAACAACCCCGAAACTAAACACATCGCTCTTCTTATTAAGTCTTTGATAGTTATAGTATCTGTAACACAAGACATTATGATAGTCACTCGTCAGAATAAGGAATTCATTCAATATTCTAGTATCTCTTTCAAAAGCTTAGAAATTACACCACATATGATGAAGGAAATTTTGCAAAAAACCACATTTCATAACAATTTTTTGCAAGAAAACACCTTATAATTTTTTTTTTTTTTTTTTGCAATGACACACCTTAAATTTTTTTTTTTTTTTGCAAATCAATACTTTTATGCCGGAAATTGAGGTTTGACCCCCATTTTCCGGCATTGACTACCCCAATCCACCCACGAAACTACCTCTCTCGCCAGCCCTACCCAAGAAACCACCTCCTTCCCCAACTCCACCCACAAAACCACCATTTTACAGCATTGACCACCCTAAACACACCCCTTTAACGGCGTTGACCACCCTAAACACACCCCTCTAACGAAGTTGACCACCCTAAACCCTCCTCTATAGCCCTAGCCATCCTTCTTCCCTCCACTGTCAGAGCCGACACCCCTAGCCGCACTCCCCCATCCCTAAATTAACACTTGAACCACCCTAAATCCAGATTTCGCAAGGTGATGGAAACAAAGGAGTTTCATTTCGTTGGTGGGGATTAGGAGGGGAGGCGGTTTCGTAGGTGGAAGGAAGGAGGGGATTATTTTGTGAATTGGGCTGGGGAGGGGGAGGTTTCGTGGGTGGGGTTGGGTAGTCAATGCCGGAAAATAGGGTTTGACCCCATTTTCTGGCAAAAAGGTATGGTTTTTCAAAAAAAAAAAAAAAAAATTGATTAAGGTGTGGTTTTGCAAAAAAAAAATTGTATGGTGGCTTATTGCAAAAAATTGCTTATAAAAGGTGTTTTTTTTTGCAAAATTTTCTATTATATATGGAAGCATAATATATACACACTAGAAGTAAACTTTTAATAAAAAGCACTGGTCCCTTGCTAGGGTGAGTCAGTTCCGCGCTAGGGTTTGCGAGTAAGTTTTCCACATTTTTTTGACCAATTCTATTCAATTTCTTGACGATTTCATTCGATTTTCTGCCAATTTTCTTCTTTTGATTCCTGTTTGGGTAGTATGGGGGAGGAATTAATTAAAGATTGGGAAAAACTCAGATTGACAGAGGAGGAGGGGGAAGTTTTAGGGGGTGACTATGTCGAAATTGTCAGTGAAGACACGAAAACTAAACTGAACCTTACGTTAGTAGGGAAGTTATGGACTGTTAAACCCTATAATATTGAAGCTATGAAAAAAACCTTAACGAATGTATGGAGATTGAAGGAGAAGTTCGCAATCAGGGTCGTAGAGACAAATTTATTTGTCTTTCAATTCTTTTGTGAGGAAGACAAAGAGCGTGTACTTGAAGGAAGGCCGTGGTTTTTCGATGAAAAACTCTTGCTTTTACAGGAGGCTATTGGAGAACAACAGCCATCAGAAATTGAATTTAAGTACGCCCCTATGTGGGTGCGCTTGTTAGATGTCCCTTTGAACAAAAGATCGATGGAGGTGATGTATGATGTAGGAGAGTTCCTTGGAGGATTTTTGGAAGCCGATGATGATGATCCTTTGGGATGGGGTGATTTCTTGAGGATAAAAGTACAATTTGACATAAACAAGCCGTTGAGAAGGGGTTTGTTTCTGGCGATGGGTAAAAATCACTCCTGCTGGGTGGATTTAAAGTATGAAAGGTTAGCTGATTTTTGTTTTTTCTGCGGTCGGTTGGAACATACAAAAAAGGAATGCCAGTACAAGGAAGTTAATGAAGATGAAGCTTCAAATTTTGTGTTTCAATATGGTCCATGGCTTAGAGCAACCCCGAAAAAGAAGGTAAGAGTTGATATGGCTGAGCGAGAAAAGAAGAAGGAGTGTATGAATAAACTGAAGGCAGCGCCAAAATCAAGAAGAATTCCTTCTTATAATGACCCTGATGTCATTAAGCTTGGTCCCGTTGGGGTCGCAAGAAGACTATCATTCACATCCCCAAAACCTTCGAACTATGTTTAAGAAGTGAAAAGTCCTAGAAGTAAGCAGGCTTCTCTTGTGGCTGTTGAAGATAAATATGGGACTAACATGGTCCTAAGAGTAATGGAAGTTTCGAAGCAAGGGGAGGAAGATAAGCTAGGGAATGTCGAAGAAAAGAAAGAGGATGGGGAACTTGATGTGCAAGCCATGAATAATGGGCGAAATAAGGTGCTAGGTGTCGAACCCTTTGCTGTGCTCTCTAACCAGGTGCTGCGTGAGGGGAAGGGAACAGAAGGAAAGGTGAGGGGGGAAGGGGATACTAAAGGGGAAGGGAGTGAAGAGGGAGAAGGTGATAACAACAAGATTAAAAAATTGAAAAAAGTCAAAATAATAAAAGGTGAGAAAAAGAGGGAGGTGAGGGTGGGAATGTTGCTGTCAGGGGGTAAAAGAGGGGAAAGGGAAGACGAGGGAGTTGAGTGTGATATGATGGTGGATGGGGAGGAAGGTGTTGATATGAATAAAAGACGTAAGGTGGAACTCTTGACTCAAAATGTGACGGGCCCCACACCCTGGACTCTTGGTGAACAATGAATTACATCATTTCTTGGAATTGTAGAGGTTTGGGGAACACCTCGGCTGTAACGGCGTTAAAAAATATCATTTTTCTTGAAAAACCCCAAATTATTTTTCTGTCAGAGACTAGATTGGAGTGTCATGAAATGGAAAAAATAAAAATAAAGCTCAAAGTTTAATAACTTGTTAGCCGTGAGTTGTGTTGGTGATGGGAGAAAAAGGAGTGGTGGGATTGCCTTGCTTTGGAAGGATTCTATAGTGGTGGATATTAAATCTTACTCCCTTAATCATATTGACTCTTGGGTCAAAATGCCGAAGAAGAAGGGGTGGAGGTTCACTGGGATTTATGTCACCCTGAGGATGAAAATAAGCACAAGACGGGAATGTTACTGAAAGTCTTCATGTGGGTGTGCGGTGGGGATCTCAACCTTATGCTTTTGTCGAGCGAGAAACAAGAGGGTAGAGATTTCAACTTGGGTGAAGCTGACATTCTAAGAAGTGCCGTGGCTACATGTTGTTTGGAAAATATGGGTTTTATTGGTCATCCTTTTACATGGACAAATAATAGGGGAGGTGAGGATAATTTGCAAGAAAGGTTGGATAGGTATCTGGCGAACAAGGAATGGAGGGAGCTCTTCCCGGGCTAATTTGTGTCACATCTCTCAAAACGCAAATCTGATCATCTTCCTATCTTGTTATGCATTAGTGAAGGTGTAGGGAAGCAGAAGAAGAAAAAAAAGGGTAGACAATATAGATTTGAGGAAATGTGGCTTAGAGATGAGACTTGTGGTGATATTATTGCAAATACGTGGAGTAGTGAAGGTGATATTTGCTCAAAAATTGCTAACACGTCGTTGAATTTGAGTGCTTGGAGTCGAAACAAATTTGGTGATTTTGTGAAGGAATTGAAGGAGTGTAGAGCTTGTATGGAGAGTCTTATGGAGGAGAGTCAAACGGAGAGTGTTATTGCACAATTGAGGGCCTTGGATGATAGAATGGATGAGTTAGAAAGGAGGGAGGAGTTGTATTGGAGACAGCGGAGTAGGAAAGATTGGTTAAAGTTTGGGGATAAGAACACAACTTTTTTCCATACGAAAGCCAACCAAAAAAAATCCAGAAATCACATTCGAGAGATAAAGGACGCCGCGGGCAATGTGTATGATGATGACCAGATTTCGGAAGCGATGGTTTAACATTTTAATGAGTTGTTCGTGCGAGTGGTATTGTCGAGGCAGATAGTGTAATTGAGGTGGTAGATTCGGCAATATCAACCGAGCAATGTGATGATCTTGCGGCTCCCTTTACCGGTGAAGAAGTTCGTGAAGCTCTTTTCCAAATGCACCCCTCAAAGGCCCCCAGCCCTGATGGTATGTCTGCTATTTTTTTCCAAAAGTTCTGGAATACTGTTGGTGCGGATGTGATCTCTAGCTCACTAAATATTTTGAATAATGGTGGTGATATTAGCTCTATTAATCAGACTCATATTGTTTTAATTCCGAAAAAGAAAGAATGTGAGTCTCCTGTTGATTATAGACCTATAAGTCTATGTAATGTGCTATATAAAATTGTGTCAAAGGTTCTAGCAAACAGACTTAAAAATTTTTTGCCATCAATTATTAGTGAGTCGCAAAGTGGGTTTTTTCCTGGAAGGTTAATCACCGACAATATTTTGGTGGCTTATGAATGCTTCCATTATCTGAGGAAGATGAAAACAGGGAAGAAAGGCTACCTGGGTCTGAAACTTGATATGAGTAAGGCCTATGACAGGGTGGAGTGGTTAATCTGGAAAAAATGATGATGAAATTTGGCTTCCCGGATGTGTTTGTGAAGAACATTATGAAGTGTGTCTCATCGGCTTCTCTTGATGTCCTTGTGAATGGACAACCTTCTCGGGTGTTCAAGCCTAGCAGGGGCTTGCGGCAAGGAGACCCTATATCTCCTTTCCTATTTATTATGTGTGCAGAAGGGTTATCTGCCCTCCTAAGGGATGCAGAGAGGAAAAAAATCATTCACGGGGTGAAAATAGGAAGGCATGTAGAGCCTATTTCTCACCTATTTTTTGCGGATGATAGTCTGATTTTTGTCAGGGCAAATGAAGAAGAAACTGATAGTGTTCTGGATATTCTTTCAACTTATGAGTTGGCGTCGGGCCAAAAATTGAATATGGAAAAATCGAAACTGTCATTTAGCCGAAACATTGATCGTGAGAAGAAAAATATGCTTCAGATGAAGTTATCTTTTAAGGTTGTCGATGGACATGACAAGTATCTTGGGCTTCAAACTTACATTGGGGGCTCCAAAAAACAGGTTTTTCAGAGTATTCAAGATAGGGTGTGGAAGAAACTCAAAGGTTGGAAGGAACACTTTTTTATCACAAGCCGGAAGGGAAATTATCATCAAATCTGTTGCCCAAGCTATTCCTATTTATGCTATGCAATGTTTTTCCATCCCCATTAGCATCCTTAATGAGGTGGAAAAAATGTGTAGAAATTTCTTTTAGGGGCAAAAAGGTGAAGAACGTAAAATGTGTTGGGTGGCTTGGAAGAATATGTACCGTGGAAAAAATCAAGGGGGTATGGGATTCCGGAACATGCAATTTTTCAATAAAGCTATGTTGGCAAAGCAAGCTTGGAGAGTGTTCACCAACGAGAAATCTTTAATGTCTCGGGTTCTCAAAGGTAAATACTTTCCCTCCTCTTCTTTTTTTGATGCTAAAAATGTGTCGGGGATGAGTTATACTTGGAGATCTATTTTAAGTGTAAGGGGAGTTATTGAAAAAGGGGCAAGAAAAATTATCGGAGGAGGAAGTAGTATTAATATTTGGGACGACCCATGGGTCTCAAGGTTGCCAAATTTCCGTGTGATTTCTTCCAAGGGTGATGGAGAAAATGTGCGAATATATGTGAATCAATTATGGGAGGGTAGGAATTGGGATGTGAGCATTCTTCATGGTCTTTTTTCTGACAGGGAGGTTGAAGATATTTGTAGTACTCCAATACCATTATTTGATAGCTCGGATGGTTGGTGTTGGCATTTTTCTAAAGATGGCAATTATAGTGTGAAGAGTGCTTACCACCTCTTAATTGAGAATGATGAGAATGGCAGAGCTTCTTCATCCAATGTCCCTCCTATATTTAATTGGAAGATAATATGGCAGGCAAAGGTCCCTCAGAAGATAAATTTTTTTGCTTGGCGTTGCATTAAAGATGCTATTCCGGTGAGAATGAGACTAGTTTCTAGGGGCATGGATATTGATCAAATTTGCCCGATGTGTGGTGAAGCGGATGAGACAACATTGCATATGATGTTACATTGTCCTAAGGCTGCCTTGATTTGGAGCCTTTCAGTGCTGAGACTTGATCCGAATGAGGTGGTAGCAAGCTGCCTTCGAAGCTGGTGTGCTAGCATGAGTGAAAAAATAAAGGATCCTCATTGGTGGGATTTATTTTGGTATTTGGCATGGGGAGTTTGGCTGCAACGAAATGCTTGGGTTTTCGAGAAAAAATCGAGGTATGTGATCGATATAATACATAAGGCAGTGGGATTGGTGGGAGAGTATGAAGAAGCGATGAAAGTGGCCTCTGTGAGTAAGCCGAGCCAAATGCTGAACTCTGTGTGGAAAGCTCCCCCAGGGACATGTATAAGCTGAACTCGGTTGCAAATCTGGGCGTTAATCAGCAGCTAGGAGTGGGAGGCGTGTTGAGGGATGCGGAGGGGGTTGTGTTGTTGGCTTTCTGCTTGAAGGTGAAAGGCAATTTTGAGGTAGAGGTGGGTGAAGCAATTGCGTTGCGGCAAAGTCTCTTGACTGCCCTTCAAGCTGGTTTTAGAAATATGGTGCTTGAAACTGACAACTTGAAGCTATTCCATCATATGGAGAAGGGCATCATTATGCCGAGTGCTTTTGGGAATATGGTTAGTGACATCCTTCGATTGGCTAGCCAATGTTTTCTTGCTCTTTCTCCTTTGTTAGAAGAAAGGGTAATGGTGTTGCTCATAGCTTAGCTAAGTTAAGTAGTACTTTTAGTGATTATCGTGTTTGGTTAGAAGAGTATCCCCCTGAAATTCATGGGGCGATTTGTAATGACTTTAAATCTTTGTTGACGTAATAAAAAGCTAAGCTCTGATTGGTGTAAAAAAAAAATGAAAGCATAATATATAATTGGAAAAATTGATGGGAATAATCTCACCTTTTGAGCATCGGAGATTAATAATCCCACCTTTGGGATTCTTTTTAATAATCCCACCTTTGATATCAATCCACTTTAAATAGTTCCGGGTGACCAGTAACCGGTTGAAGAGGTAATTTTTTTTATTAAGTTTATTTTACACGTGTCACAATTTGATTTGTCCAAAATTAAAATTAAAATTAAAATTAATCAAAAAGTAAAAAGAAAAAAAGAAAATTAACAACACAGCCACGCCATCCCCACCAGTCCACCACCATCCCCACCACCATCCAAACCCAGACTAGAAACTACCGCCACCAGACGCGAAACCACCGCGACCCGAAACCACTACCACCACCAAGACGTGAAACCACCACCATCCAGACCAATTAACCCCTTCAAACAAATCGCAACCCAATTAACCCCTTCAAACAAATCGCAACCCACCAAATTGACTAGGAAACGACGTGATTCAATTCGAGATCAGGGGAGGACAGAGAGGTCGGAATTGGGGATAGGGAAGGCTAACGCGACCGAGAAAGGGATGGAGGACGCTGAGGGGTTGGGGTCGCGACGGGATCAAAAGGGGTTTTCGAGGGGAGGGGGCTGCGGAGTTGGGTCTATGAGGGTAGGGGGTCAATTGCGACACCGGAGCCGGAGCCAAAGCTGTCGTTGGAGGCTGGGTGGCCGGAGTCGCGGGGCTCGGGATAGTGGTGTCTGATTGGGCAGCTGGTGGGTGATGGGTGGGTGGTTTTATTTATTTTATTAATTTTCTTATAAAATATTTAATTTAAATTTTTTTTTTATTTTTTCGACCAATGATAAGCCGCCACGTGTCAAGTAACTTGTTATAACAGGTTACTTGACCGGTTGAGACTATTTAAAATGAATTGACAACAAAGGTGAAATTATTAAAAAGAAACCCAAAAGTAGGATTATTAATCTCCGATGCTCAAAAGGTGGGATTATTCCCATCAATTTTTCCGAGAGAAAATCTGGTTTGCTAGCTTGGCCGAGAAGATCTTTTCCGTTATCTTACCTAATTCTTCTAGTTAGAAAGAAAATAATGTTCAAATGATTCCCTGTACAATTGAAGTCAACTATGAGAATTGTAAACTTACTCTGGATCAACATAGCCACGTGTTCCCATCACGTTAGTACTCAAACCACTCTCAGTACCTTCAATAGAGAATGTTTTGGAGATGCCGAAATCTGAAATCTTGGCGTGCATGTTCTCGTCTAGTAGAATATTGGAAGTTTTCATGTCTCTATGTACTATAGGAGGTTCACACCCACTATGCATATACTCCAAACCTACAGTTACAATATTTTATCATTAATGCAAGTTAACCTTGTACAGCATATAATCAAACAATGTCAAGCAACATTTTCTCATATGAAATTATAGTGCTGCATTTAAGTATATAACACAATCAACTGACCTTGTGCAGCGTCTATGGCAATTTGTAGTCTCTCTTTCCAACATAAAACCCTAGTATGTTTATCTACAAAAAGCAAATGAACATATTTTGTTACTACATTATTCATGCATTCCCGTGCAAATGAATATAAACCAATTATACATATTTCGTACAAAATAATTTAATGTCAGTAAATTTTGTGTAGACTATCCTAAAGAAGGGTTCCATTGTGAATAACTACCCGTTTTTAAAATTATTGTTTAGAACTACCCATAAGAAAACAAACGTTTGTCTAGCACTACCCATTAACGGTCTCCGTCCAATTGAGCTGTTTGTAGGGCCCACTCTTATGGTTTAATTGTCGGAAATCGTTTATGGGTAGTGTTAGACAAACTTTTATAAATAATATTTTAAAAATGGGTAGTTATTCACAAAACATTCTATCTTTAGGGTAGTTCTACACAAATTTTCTTTAATGTCATGGTCACAGTACAATTTTGCTTGTTAATTGTTTGTTTACCTGATAAATGTTGTTTTAGGTTACCATTAGTTACATGTTCATAGATGAGTGCCATGGCTGTGCCTTCCTCACAATAACCTATGAGAGAAACAAGGCTTCTATGATGAACTCTTGTTAACAGTTCAGCCTGTCATTTAGAAAACAGAGTTGTTATTTATTTTGTTAAGGTAGTTTATAGGATGCATAAATTATGCTTTCTTTTGTATAGATCTCAACCTTCAGATAGTGTATATTAGAATGAAAATTTTATACCTCAGTACGAAACAACTTTAAGCTTAGAGTGGATGGGTTTATCATTTTAATAGCCACAGGAGTACCATCTTGTAAGGAGCCTTGATAAACTGCTCCAGATCCTCCTCTTCCAATAATTGTTTGGAAATTATTGGTCATATTCATCACTTCCACGTATGTGAAACTCCGACTCTCCAGCTTCAATGATGCATTTTTAATGTATCTTGCTAAACAATGAAAAAACATAGCATAATCTACCGCTATAACTATACACAAACCAAAGAAAAATCATAGTTCATAACATCATTTCAGCTCTATTCAGTCCAGTAAATGTGAACAGGCTCTAAAACTAGACCTGATTAATGTTGTTATATACTACCTCTGTTTTTAAATACTTGCTCTATTTCTCTTGGGCACGAATGATGATGCTAATATTTGATCAATAATATCTTTAATTATTAATAACTATAAATTCTAACAATTGAAAATTAATAACCTATTCACTGAGACGATTTCAACAAGTACCCACAAGACTATATTTTTTCTTATGTATAAATCATAAACATTAGTCAAAGTAGGACGAACGAATAGTGTAAAAAATAGAATTGGAGCAAGTATTTAAAAACGGAAGGAGTATTAGCTGGTGGATCACTGTTCGATCTAGTGCTATTGTTGATTTAAAGACTTTAATTATGAATGATTTCAAGCCACATTATTTAAGGTGAATCTCTAATAATTCAAAAAATTGGTATGATGTCTTTAATTATAATAATATATACCCTTAGAATGAATAAGTACAAAAAACTTTAATATACCTGTTTTCTTCCTTTTAAGTATACAAATCAATATTGCTATCGAAATAATGATGAATATTATAGATGTTATTGAAGACAATATAGCCACCATCTTCTTTGAATTCTTTTTCTTACATGGGTTTGACATACACACATCTGGATTGCCCTCCAATCTGGGAAAAGGATACAAATAAAGTTGGGAGGTGGAATAATGTTAAAACTTTAATTACAAGAACAATTATGATTATTAAAAAGTTCATTGCTCGGTTTTTTCTTATGATGAAAATTATACATGATAGCATGGAATATAACTTAACCTACCTCAAAATTATAGAGCCATCTTCCACCTTTTTGCTGAGTGCTATCGGAACTGGACCAGTGAGCATATTACTTCTTAAATCTCTATTACAGAAGGATTAGACAAGGTCAACTTCATACACATCTCAAGTCTTAAGAAGTTGGTTAAAGCAACTAAAAAACTTACATAGTATGTAGAGATGGCATCTTAGCTAGAAAATCAGGTATTACCCCTATAAGATTATTATATGAAAGATCCCTGAAGCAACAAAATTCACAAGGTCAAGAACACCTATCATACCATAAAACACGTCATTTCACTTGTATTAGCGTCAGATGATACTCTATGTATGTGACAAGATATTCAATCATCAGCCTAAATGCCCTTGTGTATACATATTGGGATATGATCTTTCTATGACATGACACTTAAGATCAAACTCCTAACACCATCTCCAATGTTGAGACTCAACTTTGAATATTGAGATACAAAATGAGTTTTTTTTTTTTCGCCAATGGTGATACCCAACCTAATTCTCAATTTGGCAACCCATGTGAAGTTTAATTTCTCAATGGTGAGTCTCTAAAGTATACTAATGTCACCTTCAATTTATGACCCACAAAATCTATATTGTAAGTTTTTCAAAAAAAAAAAAAAAAAAAACCTTAAATTAATTACAAAATATATTATAATAAAGTGCCTACACTTTTTGCCAAATGAGATTTAAAGTTGAGTATCTAAATTTAGCAAGAAAATTGCTAAATTTAAATACCATCTTATTAATATCTTTTGCAAAAAATACTCTCTCTCCTAAAAAAACTCACTCAAGTCTTCTCACCATCGAAGATGGTCTAATAGCAATAATAATGTTAAAAGTTGAATGTATATTGTGTTGCCAATAGTTTTAAGGATATATGAGTTGGTCTTTACACAATATTGTACAATGAATCTTAGCTTGATAGAATAACAATAAATAGGTACACTTTATGTCCTTATTCTTTAATTTACTATTTGAGTTTCATGATCAACTTTTGCCGATCCCTTTGTATAGAAAGAATGTGTGTAGTAAAAATCAAAGTGTGAAATAATAAACAAAAATGAATAGAGAGGGTGTATTGTAAACGCGTCTACACATATGTTTAATTTATGTGCATACATGTATAGTATATATACTTTTGTGGATGATTTTACATATCTAACAAACACAATTACTCAAACTTTTGGTTGAATAACCTACTTTATAATTAAAACTTATTTATATACGAAGTACGGAGTATATAATGTCAACTTACAAGTAGGTTAAAGCTGTAAGAGCAGACAATGAAAGGGGTACATCTCCAGCCAATCCATTGAAAGTCAAATTCCTGGCATTCAATTCATTTTCAAATATAGATACTAATATATTTATTGTATCAAATCATTGCGTAACTTCAAAAAGGATATGTTTAGTATTGAGATAGGAATGTATATTATCTCATGTCATATTATTCTCATAATATGATATCCCAATATATACATTCCTATCTAATTATTTAGACTCACAAAGAAGTTATTCGAGGGGACTTATGACCATTGCTGCTGCATTCTAAACCATCCCAAGGAACAATAGGTAGACAAGGATCCCCTTGCCAACTCGCCGGCACTGTGTAGTTCATCTTGATGTTCATAACAGCATCAACTGGATAATAATGAAAGCAAAAGAATTAATACTTGTATTTATTATTGAAAAAGTTCATTCAAGAATGTTTACTTTTTTTTTTTCTCTCTAAGCTGTAACTTACCATCATTCTGGTTTGTTGCTAATGCTTTGAGGTCTACTATTTCATATATCTCAAAAGCGTTGAGAATAGGAGGGAGTTTCGACGTATTTGTCTTCGTAATGAGAAACTCGATGGAAGATCCATTAGTCAGTGTTATTACATCGGAAACGATGGTTAACGGTTGCAAATATCTGGGGCTAATTATTTCTGACTGATATTTTCCAGGTATTGAAATAGTAAATTCTCTTGTTTCATTACTTCCCAACTTCTGAATTTCTGCAAAGTGCCAGAAAACCCATACTAATCCAGTATTTAAGGATCCCATACACCGACTGTAGTAATTTAAGGAGATATTGCTAGGCATAGGAACGGCAACTGTCTTTAAAACTGATGGTGGTAACTCGTAGTGATCGATGAACGTAGAATTCATTGATTGATCAGTTTTTAAAGAGCCCCAAGTGTGAATATTATTAGCTGGAACTCCGCACCATAGTCGATCATATGGATCATCAGCTACACTAAAAAAATAACATACAAGTGTACAAGAAATGAGATTCTAAATATTGTGTTAGCCTTAATGATCATAATAGAGACAATAATAGAAACTAGAATAATGCAATAGTATGCATTGCTTAAAATCGTAATATGATCGAGGATGCCCCAATTTCTCATGGTAAGAAACAAATTTTGTTTCTCACATGACATTTTCGCAAATAAACCAACAACTTTATTTAATTGTAAAGCCCACAATAATGAAAAAGTTGTTGATTTATTCACAAAATGTCCTCATGAGAAACAAATTTCGTTTCTCACCATGAGAAACATGGAATTTCCCAATATAATCTCGTTTCATTTTTATGTTTTGATTTAGAATTTGGAGGAATCTCCCAAAATTTCCCATTACCGTATGTCCCCTCTTTTTTATTTTAATTACAGCACTTTAGGGGGCGTTTGGTTCGCAGAGTGATATGGGGTTGGGAAGGGATGAAGTTAAGGTGGTATCGTGTTGGAACTTGATATATAATATTATGTGTTTGGTTTAATATTGGAATGGAATATCTCACTATTCTCTCTTTTTGTTTGATACCTAAAAGAATAGAATGAGTCAAACCCACCTCCCTCCAAAGGTTTCTAAACGTCATACCTCATGGGTTTGAGATATGAAGTATGAGTTTAAAATTCATACTTTTGACAACCAAACATATGGCATGGATTTTAGTCATTCTAACTCATACTTCATACCTATATTTAGCGAACCAAACGCCCCCTAAAAGACACAAAGTTTTATGCAGTTGAGTTAAATTTGATTTTATGCAGTTTAGTTAATGTTGTTAAAATATTGTGTAAGTGAGGTTTATTTGGAAATTTAAAAAATGATAAAAATTTTTTTTAAAAAAAGGTAATAGTGGATACATACTGGTTCCAATAACATTGCAACAAGGATGAAAGTACGCACCTTAAAGCACATTTTATATGTTAAATATTTATAAATATATAGAAAAAACATTTTAAAAAGTTGATATTGTGAAAATATTTGAGAGTCCAACAAGATCTCACATGCATGGCTATATTTTGCTTAACTTATAAATCATATTATGTGGTAAAAAAGAGTGATGAATAGTGTAAAAGTCTCATTGTTGCAATATTAGAACGGTTGAAGTATTAAATAAATTAATGGGTAGGGCCTGCTCTCATTGACTGAACTCAGCTGAACTGAACTGAACTAAACTGAGCTGAGCTGACCTGAACTGAAATGAATATTTTTTAAGAGAAGAAAAATTAGGAGCTGAACTGAACTGAACTGAGTTGTTTCAACGTATTAGAACAAACCCTTAAGAGAAGAGAAATAATATAAGGTGTTGTTTGGTTGATGTGGGAATTTAATTCCCATAGGAATTTATACTTCATGGGAAGTTAATTCCTTAATGAAATTCCTAGGAATTTCATAAATGTGTTTGGTTGGCAATAAGGGAAATTAGAATTCCCATGAATTTTGGTTTACCTAGAGGGGGGGGGGGGGCTAGGTAATTTACTTCCCATGTTTTGTGGGAAGTTGAAATTCCCATGAATTCCCACTTCCTCCATTTTTGCTTTCTTATGCCAGCCAAACAACTCTTCATTTTCTCAATTCCCATGAATTTTCAATTCCCCCATTTTAGAATGTCAACCAAACAAGGCCCAAGTAGGGTAAAAGTGGGGACCATGTGAGGTGAGACATACAAATTATAATACTGTAAAATAGTGTGAGGTATTTTCATTGAAGAAAGTGTGTGTTGCAATAAAAAATAAATAAAAAAAAAAAGTCCATTGTAAAAGTGTTGCAATTTAAAATTCAATGAAGATAGAAATAAAGAAACAACCTTGTATAGGGGTTTGAGTAGAAGCCAGCATCCATGCGCACACGAGTCAATAGTGCACCATCACTGGAATTGTAATTACCCGTAGAGTCGATCAAAGGCTTCAACTCCAATGCAGTAATAAAAGGTGTGGTTGATCCGGTTTTCACCAAACATACATATATCAAGTCATCTTCAGAAGTGTAAATAAGTTCCAAAAACAGTTGTTCTCCAACGGAATCTGGCTTAACTGTTGCCCAAAAATGAACTCCGACATAAAGGTCAAATGTTGGTATGGTGTTTAGTCCATCATAATTTCCATAGTAAAAAGAAGCTCTGATTAAGTAGTTTCTATTTTTGCCTTGTAAAGGTTTCAAAGTGTAACAATTTCTAATTCCATTTGGGAAACTTCTGAGTGTGTTGTAACTTGTCCATAACCCACCAACTGTGTAGTTGCTCTTTACTTCCATGTTTTTTCCGGTGTTTATGAATTCTGAATCCGACTTGTAATATAACCCTCTCGCATTGTTATATTGTGAATCTCTAGTCATTCCACAGTCAATGCTGATGAATCCTTTTAATTTTTTCGCAAGTCAACCACCAAAACAAAACAACCACACATTAGCAATGAAGGCGAACTATACTCTTATATAAGTTCAGAGGAGTAATTTGAATCAAAAAAGATCTTTTACAATCGTTTGTGCCTTACTAGCCTGCTAGGTACAACCGGGTGTATGATGTATGAAATGGTTAAAAGTAGAGCTATCAAAAACTGACCCGGCCTGAAAACTCGACCTGAACCGACAATGATCTGAACCCAACATGTACTCGAACAATGGGGTGAAACTAGGGAACTGTAACTCGACCTGAACCTGACCTGATCTTAACCAAAAACCGATTTGATCCAATACTTTATGACCTGAACCTGAACCTGCACCTGAAAGTAACCGTTAACCGATTTAATCCGACCCGAAAATAATCCGAACTCGAATTAGTACCCGACCCAATTAAAACTTGTACCCGAGTCATGGAAAGTTTAATAAAATTTTATATACCTTTTTACTCATTTTATATACTAGTATAATTCTGTAAACCCTCAATCCGATTTAATAAAATCTTTTGTTCAACTTATATTTAGTTCTACTACCTCCGTTAACATTTATTTGCAACTTTGGAATATCTTATGTCTCTCAAATAATACCCCAAAGTTGCAAGTTAATGTTATTGGCTGTAGTATATTACTCGTATATAGGTTTTATTACAAAAATCTTGATAACTCTTGATCAAATTATGGAAGGCGTAATTATATAGTTCAACTTAACCACATCGATATTTATTAGAATTTAACTTGAACCAAAACCCGACTCAACACTAACCCGAACCCGATTGTACCATCTTATTAACTCATCCAAACTTGACTCAACAACCCAAACCTGAAATTGAATCCGATCCGATTTTAACTCAAATTGAACCCGACCTATATCTGAAAAGGTGAACGACCCGCTATAACATGAACTGAAAATGACCCGACCTGAACCTGAACCTGATATGAAACTAGATTAACCCGACATAACCTGATCCTTGTTTAACCCGAGACCTGATTTAACCCAACCCAAACCCGACCTGAATACCCGAATTGACAGCTCTAGTTAAAAGTCCATACGTATCTTTTATATATAGTTTACACATGTTTCTATAATCACGCCAGTCAAAGCATAATAAAATTTCAGATTTATTATTTTTCCTTATACTCCTTCCATCATAAAATAATTGACACGTTGGACTTTTTTCACTATGTATATATAAACTGTGACTATAGTTTGTCACTAAAATAACAAAAGTATATATTTTATTATAAAATATGTTATTAGATAGGCAATACTTCAAAGTTTCAAAATATATTTTTTGTATAAATTTTCATTAATATTTAATTATATAAAAATAAAATCCAACTAGAATCTCATTATGTGTAAATTTTGATTGTGCTACTTATTTTTGTGGAAAAAGGGAGTATATATATATATATATATATATATATATATATATATATATATATATATATATATATATATATATATATATATATATATATATATTTTGCTAAACTACCCTTACTTTAGGGCATTTCTCTTCACCTTACAAAAAATAATATCTAATAAAACTAGTACCAATGCAAGTTCAACAAAAATAAGTTCAGATCAATCACAAAATTTTTAGTTTAGTAATAATAATTTCAGTTTAAATTAGTAAAAATCAACAACTTTACTTAAAGAAGAAATATAATAGAGAATCAATAAAATTATTTTAATTTGGTTAAATAATTTTAATTTAGTATAAGTAATTTAAGTTTGACAAAAATAATTTCAGCTTATTAAAAATAATTTAAGCTAAAAAAAATAAGGTTAAGAGAACTGCACCTTAGCTTAAAGAAAAAATTTCCTACGACACAATTTATTTTTCATTCCTTGAAAAAAATATACTGTATATGCCCACATTTATGTTTTTATTTTATTTTTTTTCAAATAACAACAAGAAAATGTAGAATAATCTGAACTTGACATTATACTTTTGGAAAAATGGAAAAGAAAAATCCAAGCTTTGTACTTTTTCCTCCTAAAAATCCAACCTTTATTTTATTCATCAAAAATCCAACCTTTATGCCCCATTTTTATCTAAAGGTCCATTACCTGTTGATAACCGGTTTTTTAAAGTTATATGCCACGTGTCAGATAATAATAGGTCAATTATTTTTTTTAATTATTAAAAACAAAAATAATAAAAATAATTAAAAAAACAAAAAATATCAGATTTTCCGGCCACCATTTTCACCACCTCCATTAAATCCGGCCACCATTCCTCACCACCCTCCAATAAATCGGCCACCATTCCTCACCACTTCCCTTTCCGACCCCACCCTCCTTCCCTGACCACCACATCCCCAGAAACCAGCAACACTCGCAACACAATCGCCACAAGAACCCACCCCCAACGAGAGCAGAAACACAAAGAGCAAGCTGCCATTTTTGGTCCACCAACAAATTCCAGAAATAAAGTTCCCCAACTAATCGCAACCTTTGGTTCAACTTTCTCTCTCCTAAACCCCTCAACTTTCGGGTCCGGGTCAGTTACCGAATAGTCTGAAGCGGGTCCGTGTACATAAGCTGTTGGTGCCCATTTCTGTTTCGGGTTTGACAGTCGAAGGTTGGTGGTGCGACGGAGGTGGGTTAAGGAAAGAGAAAATGGCGGGAAGTGACGTGATTGGATGCGGGGGTGAGAGTGGTTGAGTGGTGTTGGTACAGTGTTACAGTGTTCTGGTGGTGTTGGTGGCGTACCAGTGGTGTTGGTGATGTACAGGTGGGTTGTTTCTATTTTTGAGGAGAGAGGAGAGAGAAAGAGGAAGAGTGAGAAAGGAAATTGAAAGGATTAAAAAAATAATAAAAATTTAAACATGTTTAACATGTTAAAGGTTTAATGGATCTGTTAGAGAAAATAGGGTATAAAGGTTGGATTTTTAAGGAATAAAATGAAGGTTGGATTTTTAGAAGAAAAAAGTACAAAAGTTGGATTTTACTTTTTCATTTTTCCTATACTTTTGTCCTTTAATTTCGAATGTGTTATCGTTTTTTGTCTCAATATTAGTACAGTAAGGTCTTCTTCTTTTTCCCAAAAAAAATATTTTTCAATAAAAATAATTTTAGATTAGTTCAACAAAAAATAGTTATAGTTTATTAGTTCAATAAATATAATATCAGTTTTGTAAAAAAAAAAAAAAAAAAAAAAAAAAAAAAAATCAATTCAGTTAAAAACTAGTAATTATAAAGAAGAAATATACTACCTTCATATATATTTTTTTTTATAAAAGCTACACGATATATTTTCGTCTATTTTTTTTTGTAACAGCTACACCTCCTATTTTGGAAACATTTGCAATTTAATAATATACTTTGTATATATCTTTACCCACTAATAATCCCCACTCATATTTACTTAATCATTTCCCACTCCCTCCAATGGTCCTTAGTCCATCTCACACCAATTTACTTTCCATAAAAAAATAATAATAATAAAATAATATTACCTTATCTACCCCGTTAAAATCTTATTTTATTAAACCTCTTGTGCAATCCTGACTCTAGCTTTCAAAAAAAAAAAAAAGGGTGTAATAGGGAATAATTAAAAATAAATTTTGCATGATTGGTTCTAAATTTGATAAACGGACTTGGGCTAAACCCATAACAACTTATCCACTTTATACGACCAATGAGATTCCACCTCAAAATCATATGACAATGAGGAGAGTAGTCCCTTATCCTTATAAAGTGGACACAACTTTCTTGTTTCTTCAATCACATCCCAATATAAAGTCTCACTTACAACACTCAACTAATGTGAGACAACACACCACTTACATGTGGGTTTTCTCATGTGCTCAACAAAATTAAAGTAAAGATAATATTAGTATCTATTATTAAATAAACGTCATGTGATGACCTACTAAACTTTATCTAGGTTGAAAAATGAACATATGAAAGCTTACAAATCAAAAGATTGATACATGTAAATATTTAGTAGGTACGTAGTACTCTAGATTACTAATTTAAAGCATCATAATAATATTTGAATGTATAAGCTAGTTATTAGGACTAAGGAGCTTAATTGTATGTACCTGCAGCAACTCTTTTATCGGCTAACGAAGTCAAATTTGCAGCATCATCAGCAGCCAAGGAGAAAATTAATCCATGATTATAAATCAACAAGTATGGTATAAGCATGTTGATGGTGTTGAATGACATAACCCAAACCCACGACTTTTTCTTACAAAAATACATATGTTTTTTTTTGGACTAATGAATTTGTTATGTGTACATTCAGGCATTCAGCTGCATACTCTTAATACATACTTTGCATAATGCTGTGATTTAATCTCTTTCAGCATGGACTAGTATGAGTCGACTCCAGGCCACTACTTTTCTATTGACTTGACTATGAACCTTCGTTCACCACTCAATCCTAGGATTTTTATTTGGTTAACTTATGGACAACCTCAGTTTACAATTATTTGGTTAACTTAATCCTAGGATTTTTATTTGGTTAACTTAATCCACACAATCCTAGGATTTTTATTTGGTTAACTTATGGACAACCTCAGTTTACAATTATATTCAGTTGTATATATTAGGGGTGTCCATAATTCGGATAAAAACCGAAATTCAATCCAATCCAAACCGAATTATCAATTCGGATCGGATCCGAACTTTAAATCGGATCGGATCGGATCGGATTGAGATTTTTTGGAAATTCGGATTTTCGGATTGGATTGGATTGACCCTAATTGGATCCAATCCAAACCAAAAACCGAATTGTAAAATTAAGCTTGTATATTTTGTATATTTTGAAGTTTAGCTCAAATACATAATACTACATAAAATAAATTAGAGAGACTTTGTATTAATTAATTGATGACTTAACGTTGAACTGTGTATTTTAATCATGATTTTGAAGACTTTTATTTATAGTAAAGCTTTATTTTTATAATTGTATTAGGCGCTAAAAAAATAATGTATTATAATTCGGATTTTCAGATCGGATCCAAATAACCGAATTTTAATTCGGATTGGATCAAGAGAGAAATTCGGATCGGATCGGATTGGAAAATTGAAAACCGAATTATATTTCGGATTGGATCGGATTTAGACTAAATCCAAACCGAAAACCGAACGGACACCCCTAGTATTTATTCTTGTTTTGGACCTTTTGGTGCGCCAAGTCATACATGCGAGCTATGAATTGACTCGTAGAATTACGAGTTTACGACTTGGAAATTTACATGTTAATACGTACAATAAAGACACTGAATGCCCACTCGCAAGAGTACGTACTACTCTTACCATAACATAAGAGCTTTCAATCTTTAGTCACTCTTTAGCGTGGAATCTACTCTAAGGGGGCAAAAACAGTGTTTATATCTAACCCCTATTGTTTCGGGTAAAACAATGGGACCTTCGGCAAGGTCCTAAAAAGTGCGCTAAATACTAAACTCGGTCCAAGTGATGCTGGACCGAGGATTTCCTGCACAACAAAACACATGTAAACTGGCCTCGGGAGTTGTGCCGAGGAAGGTCTCTCCGATGCCGAAGTCAGTACAGTGTGTAAGGAAAAGAAAGCTATGCAAGAGAATTAATTGCTTGAGGTTATATGTGAATGAATGTAAAATGGTACAATTGATGGTTTTTATACCTTTGCACATGAGGAGAAATGGGCCTAGAGCCATGTGGGTGTAGACACTTAAAAATGTCTCGCCGAAACCAAACCCGATGATGAATAACCTTTCACCTCCGTTATTGGTCGGGTTGAGTATTTAATCCCGGGAATGCTTAAAGTTCATGTTTAGTCGAATTCAGTTCATAAAATAGTCGAGGGATCAGTCCTAATGTTTACTTAAAGCATAGTTTAATTTTTAGTTTGGCCCAAACCTTTTTATTTATTTTTCATTATTATTATTTTAGCCCAATTAAAAATAGCCCGAAAATATGAATCGACACTTAAAAGGCTGAGCATAATTAGGGCAAAAATGTATTTAGACGGAAAAAGAGACACAGGGCCTGCCGCGTCACGGCAAATTGTGCCACGCCACGGACACACTGCTGCGCCACGGCACAGTTCCCCGTGACACGGTGCTAGTACCGTGACACGGGAAAGTCCCTTGTCTTTTCCGCATAAACCCTTCACGCCTTTCACTTCTCGTAGGTCAAATATGTCCTGTGTCACTCTAGAATATCCCGCGTCACACAAATATTTCCCGTCACGCGACATTTTTCTCCCGTGTCACGGCAGTGTTTTTAATTAGGGGTTTTTATCCATTTTAGGGTTCCGTGTGTTCCCTCTACTCATTTTCCCTATAAATACCCCCTTATTTCTGATGTACGGGGCATCAATTAACTCTCTCATTCTCTCTTCTAAGCTCTAGCCTAAACACTAGCCTACCCTATTCTCTCAAATTACCTTTCTTAAGCACTCCAAGGAGTCCGTACTTTACCCGAGGTTCTGTCCTTAAACCAAGGCGTGAAAGGTAGAATTGTTTGAGAGTTTGGCCCCAAATCAACTCTATTTAATTTCATTTTAATTACCGTTGTATTAGTTTTCCTTGAAGTTACTAACGCGTTTATTGTTTTTATAGTTGCAAGCAAGCAAAATCAAAGTAAGGAATCATGTTCCTTTTATTTGTATTATTTTTCTAACAATTTTATATGCTGGATTTATTGTTAAATTGCTTCCAATATTAATGTTGGTTTCTATTATTATTTATTATGATCACCATATTGCATCTTAAAGGGACGGAACATGTAATTGAAAATTCACGACTAATAAGATAATTTGGACAACCGGTTTAGGTTCCTTTAATCTTGTTGTTAATTGAAGTGGTCACAAATATTTTAGAATAATAATATGTTGCATTAATATTCAACCAATTTAGCATAATAATAGTTTGGAGCGAATTGAATATTTTGTTTGTATGCCTTTGAGATTACAGGAATGTTGTTCACTATAAGAATCGAGTAGAGGCCAATACGGGCGAATGTGACTTCATGACTCACTTTGTACCATCATCCATGATCCTCCTTTCATGGTTCCGAACCATATGGAGTTAGTAATCTCATGGATTATGAATGGAATGTAACCTTCATGGGTCAATTGTTGTTGCCTTTCGTTGTCCCTTAATCGTGGTTGCCTTTTATGATCCGTGAATGGTTTACAAGTTCGTTAAAAACTTGTTGGCGGTTCCCTACTTTGCTTTGTCCCTAATCGCGTCCCTAATTGTATTATGTCAATTCCCACTTCCTAAGAGTGCCAAACATATTCACACTATGCTTACGTAGGCGCACTTCAAACGACGCCTACAATTTGGCGACTCCACTAGGGAGCGAAGATTCTTTGTTATTTATCGATTTGAGTGATTGATATTTAATTGAGTTGAGTGGATGAGACTTGAAAGATTCTTGAATTGTATTCCTGTTATTTAATTGGCATTGTCACATATGCATATGCATTTTAGGTTGCCTATTTTTCCACAATTGTACGTTTTCTACGTACGTGGCTAGCCCCGGGGAATTAAGCTCTATCAACCCAAAAACACTCATGGCAATAAGGTGTGGACACCCATTTGTGTCTCCCCAAAACCAAATCCAGTGATGAGTACCTTTCGCGTCGAATCATAATCGAATGAAGTGAAAGTGTGGAAAGTCTAGTGTTGCGGATAGTTTTAATTTCTTTTCTCTTCTCTCTGTTTTTGAAAACTTATTTTAAGAAAGCAGTCAATACAGTTTGGTTGGTCCATTATATGGGTCAAATAATAGTGTAGTTAGATGGGGCTTGAAAAGAGCTTTCCAACGATATATTATAAGCCCAATTTCGATGAATATTGAGGAAGTTATGACCAATTTACTGAACTGGGCCCGGTTGAGCCTTATATGCGGCCCAATGATTTAGGGGAGGGCCTAATATAGATTTATCATTCCTAATGCAATTAGGAATGGTTTTAGTCTTCTAGATTCTTCTAGAAAGTTCTTTTCATTCCTAATTCAATTAGCATTGATAAATTGACTTTTGTTGACTTTTCAGAGTTTTAATTAAAACCAAAGACCATTTTTGAGGAAAAAATACGATTTTATCCTCATGTACGACAATTTTTATTTGATTTTAAGAAAACGCGTGAATTTCCAGATCAATGCCTGGCGCTTGGCGCTAGTGTTGGCGCCTGGCGCCAATAGCCAGCGTTGGCGCTAATCTGTTTTTTGTGCGCCAGAACTCTGTTTTGATATTTTATCTTTTTGGCTGATTTTCTCTATAAATAACGTGCTAAAAACTCTGTTTTTGATAACCAGTTTTCATCTACAACCTACAATTCTCTCTCATTCTCATCAATTCTTATTCTCTCTTTTACCAACTCTCATCAAGATTTTCTTGATTATTCTCTCTCTCTCTCTCTTTTCTAAACTAGCTTCTCTTAAATATAAAAATTCCGCATTCATTTGATCTAGATACACCTAGCCATATTCGAAGTTGCCTTCGCCCTAGACGTAAAAGGTTTAATTTCTGAGGGTTTGGTCCCAAATCTCTATTTCCATTATTTAATTTAATTGTTTTAATTATTATTTTCCTTGAAGTTACTAACGTGTGTATTTTGTTATTAGAAAGAGATACGAGGCATCCAAGTAAGTGCTTTAATTGATTTATTGATTTTATGATATACAAATCATGCTTAGATTGTTATTTTGATTCCTAGTATCGTGTTAGGATGTTTTATTGACTCCTAGTATCATGTTTAGGATGTTCCTAGTATCATGTTAGGATGCTTTCTTTAGTATGATATTTAGAGTGATTTGCTTAAATCAATCATGATTCCTGCGATGCTTCCTATTTTCTTTCCTAATATTCATGTTAGTATCATGTTAGGGCTAAATATATAATTTTTAATGTTTAGTGACATGATAGGGTTTGTTATTAATGTTGTTAGTATCATGCCTAGGATCTTGCTATTATTATTATGCTTTAACATGATTCATGATTGTTTTTATAATTATGATTATGATTATTTTTATGATTTATAATTATAATTATTATTATGTTGCTTGATACATATTTATTATTTATTGCTTGATCATGCCTTTTAATTGCATGTTTAAAGGGAATTTGTACTTGTAATCACGCTTAATAAGATAATTAATAATCTTGTTAGGTTAATTTGATTATAACTCAAGTGATCGCCAATAATGGATTTATTTGTGCATCATATTCAACCAACATAGATAAACAGGTTTAGGGTAAACCTATTGATTGCATGTTAGTCAGAAAGCGCACATGTATACGATCTGAATAAAGTAGAGGCCTATTATTAGGGCAGGTTCAATCTCTTTTAGGTTGTATTTGTACCTTCATCCCCAAACCCTATTTGATTCAAGACCTTATGGAGTTGACGATCTCTTGGATC